GAAAGAGTGAGAATAACTCATGTACATTAACTTACAGGGGTACCACCCCAAAACGAAACTTGTAGATTCAGCTCATATTCCTTCCACCAGAGCTTAAATGTGTGATTCTATCAAATAGGGAGGTTGGTTCAGAAGCATAGTTTCTGGCTAAATATTGTTTTACTAGCAACTTCTGCCTCAAATGGTTATAGTAAAGATTATAGCTAATTCATTCATTTATTTACCTAGTACTGAATTGTGAAATATTGTAACAATGTGCCTAGCAAGATGCCTTATACATGGTAAATCCCAAGAGGATGGTGTCACCCTTCCTACTTTCTCCTAGCACCTTACTGCTCCAAGTGTGGTCCAAAGTCCAACAGTACCAGTACCAGCATTTCCTGGAAGCTTGTTAAACACACAGAATCTCAGCCCCATGCCAGAACTACTGAATCAGAACCTGAATTTTAGTAGTTTGAGAAGTTCTGTGCCAGCATGTTCTTTATCTTTTATGGCATCTGCTGGCTATGTGAGCTTGAGCACTTACAATATTGTTGTGGGAATTAAATGAGATAATATGTATAAAACACATTAAAATCTATGAAGTGCTTCATAGCATTGTTTAAGTGTACACGTGGGAAGTGGAATAAAGTGAATCTTAAGTTATTGTAATGAAAATATCTGAGAATCACTAGGTTTTTAGATTTTTCCAACCTTGATAACATTCCTTAACATTGTAATGCTATGTGAAAAAGACTTGTCTGTTTGCAGAAAATGTGCTTGAATTGCCATGCACTGTCCTACTTAAAGAACTTTACTTTTATTATATAGGAAGTTGCTAAGACCACTCCTCTAAACCAAGAGTTTTTTGTTTCATCATCATTCTTTTTTTGACATCTAAGTATTTCAAATATTACAGCTTTTTGTATTCGTAATTATGTTGCTATCCTTTAATTTGTGTGCTGAATATCCAGATTTTGATATGAATGTGGAAATCTAAAAAAGAAACCTAGAAAAATGAAAAAATTGATTTAAAAAAATGATAGCTTCATGGTATCAGTTCAAATTAAAGAAGTTATACCTAATGCATTAAATTGTAAGCTGCCAATCCAGATTTATACATCAATGTTGTTGAGGTGTTAGTAATGAAGAGAATCATCTTCTTATGGATTTGTTTTCTCATCTGTAAATTGGGAAAGATATTATTTGTTCTACCTGTCTCAAAAAGTTTGGGGGTGGGGGGGCATAACATGAGATCCTAGAAAAATGTATTGTACATATAGAAGGTTGTATTGCTGTATAGTATTGTCAAACTGAGAAGTGTATGTAAACTTGTATTGTATGTGAAAGAACTTATTTAAATATTTGGCAAACAAGCTTGAGGGTTGAGCTAGGGCCCAGGTAGCTTCATCAAATTCACAATGTCCTTTGCTCCTGCTTCAGGTGGGCAGGGGCCCAGCGAGAGGCAAAGACTCATCCACTATTTCTGCAGGTCAGTCAGGTATTGGCACATAATTGAAACAGGTCTAGATGGTGTACTTCTGATGCACACATGGAAAAGACTAGATGTTAGAAGAAAACCAGTGATTCAGTAAGTTCACAGAGGAAGAGAAGCTCTTGATGATGGATTTTCCTGGATCGCTGGGAATCACCCCTTTCCTCTCCTGCCTGTGACTGGAAGGGATGGCTGCAGTGGAAGAGATAGCCTGCCGCCAGCACGCACATGCTCTGTGGGCATGGCACTGTTAAATTAAAAAAAAACAACAACATACTACGAGGTTTGTTGTAGGCCTTGTATTTAATTCTGTATTTCTTTTCATTAGCATTCAGCAAATGAATGCTGAAATGTCAACCTGGGCGTAGATGCTGGGGGGATAAACATATGCATATGATATACCTTTCCCTCTGGTACTTTCAACTAATTGTGGAGCTAGTAAACAACTTTATGAGAGAGAAAAATAATAACTGACATTTGTACGTACTTGTAAATAGATTTTGGTGTGTTGTGCCCACATTTAAAAATTATGCGTGTGTAAGTGTGCGCGTGCATGTGGGTGCATATGTCTTAACGCACTATTAAGTCAACCCTGTAAATGAGAGGTCCACAATGTCCTGTCCTCAACAGCCCTGCCCAGCTCCTGCAGACTCAAGCCTGCGGTTTCTTTTATGGAGTCAATCCATCTCATATTTGGTCTTCTTTTCCTGCTGCTTTGTATTTTTCTCAGCATTATTGTCTTTTCCAGAGAACCCTCTGCCTTCTCATGATGTGCGTGAAGTAGGACAGCTTCAGTTTTGTCATTTCTGCCTCCAGTGATGTTTCAGGCTTAATTTGCTCTAGGGCCCACCTGTTCATCTTTCTGGTGGTTCAGGGTATCTGTAGAGCTCTCTTGCAGCACCATATTACAAATGAATCTGTTTGGTTTTGTTTTTTCCTGTGAGCATTCTTCAGTGTCCAACTGTAACATCTGTACTAGTAATTGGGAATATGAGGATGTGGATGATCTTGGCCTTGGTCTTTAATGACACATCTTTGCTCATGATGATCTTTCCTAATTCTTGTATGTTTAAAAATAAATCTACTTGTATTTATATATATTACATAGGAAAAAAGACCCAAAAGGGACTGTACATTAAAATGCTAGTAGTGATAAGAATTCAAATTAGTTTTTATTATTTTTTATGTCTTCCTCAATGGACATGTATTGTTTATGTAATTATAAGACAATAACATGTTAAACATTTGAAGCCTCTGAAGTATTTTTAGACATGCTATCTCATTTAATCATCACAATCACCCAGTTAGGTCAGTAATGAACATTGATGTTATGAGTGAGAGAAGTGGAGCGTTCACACAGACATACAACTCAGGCAGCCAGAGCGTTAAGCACAGTGAGATTACATGATATGTACAGTATTGAACAAGCAGCAAGTGGCAAAACCAGGAAAAAAGGAGAATTAGTAGTACTTACATAAAAGGGGAATGTAAGATCCCTGAGTGGTTTTAAGTTTAGGGCGTGGAATGGCTTTTTATTTCAATCTGATTCCCTAAACAGAGTCCTGGTCCAGTTTTTATCAGACTCAGAGGCAGAGTCAACAGTGGTTACTGTATGAGACCATGCAGTTTCAGTTTGACTTCCAGTTCTGGCACTATCTAGCGATTTAACCTGGGCAGTTATTTATAGACTCAGGACCTGAATTTACCTATCTATAAAAAAAGGCAAATACTACTAGCTACTATAAAGATAAAATGAGTTCAAAGACCCTTTAAAAGTGTATGGGACAGTCAAAAGATAAACTTTTTCATTGGTTAATTAAATAACAGATCGTGGTGAAAATCCTTAAAAAAAACGTATATGGGTATAGGAAGGATGCAACAGAGATTAGCTAATATTATCATCCTTGTCAACATAAGAATGTCCAAACATCCACATAGAGAATTTTTGTAAGAATCTATTTGGGCCAAATTGACATGCCAGGAAGCAAGATCTCAAATGCTCTGAAGAAGACAGTTTTGTAGTTCTTTTTATACATTTGGAATTAAGGAGGTAACCTAAGGATGATTACATGAAGGTGAGAGAAAGCAAGGTGGGGAAATCTCTATGATTGGACTACAAGATAGTGAACAAGATTATATGCTCCCTTGAGGGTGGTTACACCTCTGAGGGGTCTGGAAAAAAGGATTACTCTGTCATTTCACAGGTGTGCTAACTTGGATGTACAAGAACAATGTACAGGGCTTGCTTAAGGCAAAGATAAACCTTTTGCAGGCCTGGGGTATAGCTACCCATCATGACCTGCCCAGTTAGGAATATATAATCAGATCACCCTGTGAGGTTAATTTAGGTCACTGAATTTGTCAGATTTATTGCATAGCCCCTTTCTTGTTCACATCCTTGTCCTCACTGGTGCAAGGTGAAAGAATAGCTGTGTAGCTTTCAGGGAGATAGCTGCATTACCACACTGCAGAGGGCAGCAACCTTGATCTTACAGGGCCTGTGACAAGATAAGAAGGTTATGTCAATACAGATTGTCTGACAGTAATTTTTCAGTGACATTATTTTCATTTTGAGATACATAAACACATGAATTGAATTAGTGATCATATGATTATGTTCCTTAATAAGAAACATGTAGATGTAGATCAAATGCATATAGATGTGTACCACAAAGTGTTGATAGCTGTAGATCAGAGGTGCTAAAGAATTACAAAGCTAATGCAAAATTATAAGAAAGCTTGTATTGGTATTATTGGATTGTTCGCAGTCTGTTTCGATCTTCATCAACTCCCCCCTGTTTATTACAAATGTTTGGAATCTGTGGGTACACTTGGATGTTCTATCTGATTATACAGTGTCATAAGTCAGGTGATTGCTGTCAATCTAAGAACGATTGTTCTGTCTTTAAAAGACCTTGACCAGGAGTGGGGTGGGGTGTGTGGCAGAGGTGGAGTGTGCCCTGAGAGTTAATTCTCTCAGGCCTGGAAATAGTCTGAGCTGCCCTACTGAAATAAGATCTAGATCTGCCTGCTACTGACCCCTGGTCAAGGCATGAAGCAATTGATTAATAATGCTGCTTCGTAAACACTGGGTTGAAGGAGCTTAGGGTGGTTTGCACCAACTATCAGCATTGTTTATTGATAATAGTGAGATTGATGATTTGCATCTGGTCTACCTGAGACCTTGAAGGGCTCTGCTGTTGAGGTAGGTTACATAGGAGGAATGTGTCTATGTGATCAGCAAACTATAAAAGCACCATTTGGGACTCCATCCCAGAAGGAGCCTGAAATACTACCAGTTGAGTTTAGAAGATTACCCAGAGAGAATGTATGATGGGACACTAATTGTTTTAATATCTCATTCCTTATTATTTTAAGTCCTTCAGTTCTTATACAGGTAAATTATTGAAATCCCTAACTATTGAAGGTGGAGAAGGGGATGGCGGTCAAAAACCTGTTATAAACATCTCTTACACTGCTTCTTTTCCAAAACACGAAAAATATGTTTCTTTGTCATTTTTTCCAGACCCCCTGGTTGTGGAATACAAGGCACTGCTGGTATAACTACCCCTATCAGGTAAGGAGACATTACTGTTTGGGTTTTTACACACATAGAACCTCACCCTTAGGTCAGTTTCATGGTTGCAGGCAGGTCTCTGCGGGTTGGACAGCCACCTTGCTTTTTGGCTTCTGGCCCCCGCCCCTGCCGCTGAGTGCTGGACAGAGCCTTGTGAGGGAAGCAGCTTGTGTTCTCAGCGAAGTCCAGAATCAAAATTCAGTCGCTTTAGTAGATGGAGTAGGTAGGCATGGAAGGTGCATTTGCCAAGGAGCAAGATACAATCAATTCAACAGGTGGATGATTCCTGCTTCTGACAGCCAGTATGCTCCTAATTACCGAGGAAAGCCTGAAGATCTGATAACAGCACAGGCCTGTCTCAGCTCCAAGTGGGAAAAGCGCAAGCATGGAGCAGGAGCGGGCATGCTGAGTTTTGTTCACTCTGTGGCTTAGGAGCAGCCTCTAGATATATAAATCGAACCATTTCCTTGAGCACAGAAAAATGTGCTTGTACCATTACATGTAGACTAAAAAAATCATCATTGAAAATGAGATCGAAATTGTTTCCCAGGAAGAGAGCATTTCAGACCCCTGCTCACTGACATACCTTTGCCTGCATCCATGATTCAGTAATGTTAGCATGTGCTCTACTTCCTAGATCAGTTATTATTTGAATATCAAAGTTGGGACTTTTCTAGAAATATCTTGCTGAGATATTTCTAGAATTTCTAATTTAATTGGGTTATGTTCTTTAAGAAAAACAAATACAACTAAGTATTTTGGTGATAAAATAGAGAGACCTACATCATGATAAGCTACATCATCCTAAGCAATTTAGGATTCTTGAGGGTTGCCTTTTTAGAGGCATTTGGTCTTCTGGGTGTGTGTAAGGGTAACGGGGAGCAGGCATGCTCTGCATCTTCACTGTTACACACAGTGTGGCAACAGGTAGGAACCCGCATTGGATACTCCTTGGGCAAGTTCAAGGCTAGGGACACACTGCAATGGAATTCCAGTTTGTATTTCCATGTCTCTCATGTAGTTTATTCAGATTAGAAAATAATGTAAATAAGAAACATGACACGGTTAGAGAGAGCTGAGTATTCTGAGGCCATTTGATAGAAACTAAAGCAACACTGAAACAAACCCAGTCACTTCTGAACACAATTGTAATTCTCAGGTGCTATTTTACTATCTTAAATACTTGGAATGTTGTCATTTACAACTCTCTTTATGTCCTATAATGGTATACCGAGTGGAAAAAATCCATGTATACCTAGAGTTCTATTTATAAAAATCCATCAAAGCCTCTGGAAACCTTAGCTTGGATGTTGGTGTGGTAGCTGCTCGAATGCACTGCATTTATGAGGTCAGTTCTGTCATGTGAACAACACTGAGACACGTGCCATATGAAATGAACTACCCACTCTTCTCCACATAATGCAGCCTGAAATAGCTTTCACATTTTGGGCTGGAGCTGAGAAATTGCTTATTTCTGAGAAAATTAGCTCCTAGGGCAGTGGCTCAAAATGTTGCAGACTGTTACATAAACAGAACTATAGATTCAACATGAAAATTTGAGGGCCTGGTAGATATAGTCGTGTTTAAAAATAGGAAACATCATTAGTAGAGAATGAAAGATACCGTATGTGGGGAGTCATGAAGAGTATCTTCTATTGATAAGACATCATTGCTTATCAATTAATAATTCAGCAGGTAACTCCCAAAATCTAGGGCCAATTCACGATCTCTCATGAGAACAGTGGTCATTCTTGATACACTCCATATACTGATAAAAAAAAAAACTAGCTGCTTTCTTTTTGTGTATGTGGGAAAAATATTAAATAGCATGTAATTATTATGCATGGAATTATAATGCTTTTTGTGTAACTATATCTACATAAATATATAGGCTGCAGTTCAGAGTCAGTCTCAAGCCTTAAGAGCATTTGTAAAGATGGGGTATGCTCGGGAAACAGATTTATTATGGCTTTAGCATATATATTACATAAATACTTGAACAGATTTTTAGATGAACGAGTAGTGATCTATTTCAATTTTATTAAAGACACTGCTCCTTGTGTATGAGGGTGTATATTATATTTTATTACATACATAATGATTTATAAGTATGTGTGCATATATTTTAATTTAAAAGAGTGTAAAGTTGCCTTCAGTTGGTCCTTGTACAGCTTGTCACAAAGAGCACAAGTGGGGGATGAGAAGCCCTTGCGTGACGATGACAGGGCCTCACTCGCTGTGAGACCTAGGATCAGCCTGTCAGCCTGAATTAACTGACAGCCATTTCCTGTAACCATACAACCTAGAAAACACTAATACTAACTTTATAGGATTTTTTATGAGAGTCAAGGAGATTAACATGAGTAAGCTTGCTTAATTGCAAAGCACTCCACGAATCTGATAGTTATTCTAATATGACGCTCTCTTATGACCTCGGCCGTTTCCGGGCATGCTCTCACTTGTCCTCATAACCCAGTGTGGCATTTTCTCAGGCGGTGATGCAAGGAATAAGTGACTGTCATTAAAACTGAAATTTAATCTTGGCTCCAAGGGTCCTGAAGCCAGCACCCTGTTTTCTAGATTCCATTGCTGCCATATGTTATTTGACCTGAGTTCCCATCTCTCATTGCTAATGCCTTCAAATTTTAAAAGGACCATTCAGTGGAAAAATAGATCCTCTCCAGGGTGGTGCTGGGCTTGATTAAACACACTGGTGCTCAGAGCTTAGGATTGCTGGTGGGGGCGCATCCTACCCCCTTATGTGTTCTGCCAAAGATCCGTGAGTGCGACAACTGTTTTCCTTGATGCCCAAGGGTAAAGTTGGTAGAGTTGGTAGTTAAGTGAGTACTAGCTTCTCATGAAAGCCATTTGTTATGCTGCTGTAGGCTTACAAAGTATTTAAGTTTCTATTGTATTTACCACATACTCACACACTATTATCTGTGTGTAACAGTGTGGATATGTTTGTGTGATGAGCTTCAAAGGTCTTTCACTCATTCTGATAAAGCAAGACATTTCATTACAATTCGATGAAACAATTAAAAACAACTTATCAAAAATGGTTTTTTTGAAACACTGTTTCATTTTGTTTTTATGGATTTATACACAGAATAAATATTCCTGACTTCTACTGCGTCTCTGAACCTCTCCCCATTCCTGGGCCTCTGAGGCAGGTAGAGCAGGTGTCACCTCCATTTTGCAGTAAATTAAGTAAGCCCAAGTTTTATACCAACTAAGCTGTCGATGTGGGACTTGATCTCAGATTTCCTGGCTGAGTGCCTAACCCAGCATCTCTCGGCAATTTCCTTGCCCTTCTGATCTTTTAAGAAATATTTTTGAATTATCTTTATTTAATATTTACAATGTACTGAGAGAAAGCTCTGATTAATGGAGAACTTCAAACTGTGCCTCAGTGACTCGCCTTGTACTCCAGTTTCTATCACCTACCTCCCCTGTCCCTGTACTGTGGAATCTCACAGCAGTTGTCCAGGGTTATTCTTTTTGTGTATGTGTTAGAATTTTTTTTTCTGGTTGCCTAAGGAATCTTGCAGATACGCATGTCAAAGAACCATACATGCTATTGTTAAAGTGAATAGTGAATTGGGTGCCAAATGTTCGTACTGATTGACACTTTTTGGTTGGAGATGAAACAAAACCATGCCATCAAGCTGAGGATTAGAGGCGTCCTTCAGAGCCCCCTTATCCACAAAGAGAATGGGACTGGAATTGGTGGAGGCATAAGACCCTGTCACTTTCCAGCATTGAGCTTGAGATGTATGGGACACAAATTGGGTTTCCTATTAACTGTTAATTTTGTCTTTTTTTCCTTTGATCCTCAGCCACTTACCGCTGACCTTCACTACTATTATATCCTGGAGCTGTCGTTTTATTGGTCTTTAATGTTTTCCCAGTTCACTGATATCAAAAGAAAGGTAAGTGTGGTTATGTTGTAAAGTGCTTGCAGATATGTGTCTTTAATGGCCCCTGGCAGATGGTGTACCTCAAAGGCGCTCACCTCTATTCTCCCAGCAGTGCTAGTTAGTGCTGTTTTCTGCATTGTTCTCTATTTTTGTTTGTGCTGTGTTGTATTTTGTTCCCATTGTCTCTTAACTCTTCCTGAGTGTTCTTTTCTCCATGAAAACATACAGCAGTGAATCCTGACCGCAGTGATTTTCTCTCAGTCTGATTCACAAGCCCCTCTGTTTTCCAGATTAAATAAAGAAGAAAGATTTTACTTGCAGCTCCTGGGGGAGAGTAAAATCTCAGTGTTGTAGCCCTACGGAATGAATTTTCCCCAAATCTAAGGGCTATCTAGCATTAAAGTATGTTACAAAAATACAGTATTCCTAAAGGAGCTGCGATCTGGTTTTCACACCTCCCTTCCACTAGAATAGCTTTTGCAGAGGGTACGCTTGACCTCCTGTGGTAAACCCATTCATTCCAGTTCTCACCCTACGAGCTTCTGGGCAGAGTTGGCTATTCATTGCTTATTTTTTTTCCATGATGCCATTTTCTCCAGATTTCTATATTTCGATCGTTCCTTCCAAGTTGTGTTTGCTGGCCTTCATCCCCATCTCCGTGCCTGCCCCATGCTGTACAAATGTGTGTGTTCCGGGGTCTGGTCCTGAAGTACAGAACCATCTCCCTGGATGATGGCGTCTGTACCCTCCATCACTTCCAAACATAACCTGTGTGCTGATAATTCCCAAATGTTTCTCTCCTGCCCCGAGACCCTCTCCGGGTCCATACTTCCACAAATCTAGTCATAAATAATAGTGTTGAGTTCTTTTTTGTTTATTTTATCATTGAATATTTGCAACATTCCAAGGTCCAGGTCGATCATTTATTATTTATCCTCATTTTATGAGTGTGGAAACTGAGCCCCCCCATACAGAGTGTCTCCAGCTGACACATCATCTTCCCCTCGTCTTGTTCTCCCTGCAGTCATCCTTGTAGCCGACAGGCATGTGAGCTACAGCTTTTCCTTTGCTCTCCTCTTTGATGCCCCTTGTGCCTCCTTCCTAAATATCACTGACACGTTTAGTTGAGCCATCTCTCCTTTTGCCTAATCTAGTATAGTAGCTTCCTAACTGGCCTTCCTATCTAAATAATCATCTTGTCTACCTGCCACCTAAGAGTTATGTTTCTAAAACCTTCAGGACAAAGCCAAGCTACTTGGAGTGATAGTCAAGGTTGTAAACAACACGATTCAAACCCACTTCTCCAGCCTTATTACTACCCACACCCTTCTCTGCCCCTTCTGACACATATGTCTTGGCTACAAATACCTTCTCGCTTTTGTCTAAACACATTAAGTTTTTCCATGCATCTTTTTTTTTTACAAGACCCTGCTTCTAGCTAGAATATACCCATTCCCCACCCCCCAGACCAGACCTAGCCCAAAAATAACCTCTTCTTTAAAATCTTACTCAGTTCCCCCAAGGTTTGTGACCACTCCTTCCTCTGTGTTTAGTTTCTAAGTACCCAGCACTTACCTTGTTGTATTTTAACAGTGTGGTGACCTACCTTTTCCCCTTTGCTAGACTTGGAGGGCAAAGAGCAGGATATGTTCCCCTTTATTTTTTTATATTGTTGCTCATAGCCATTTTTTACTTTTGTATGTTCACTTCTTTTTTATCTTTTTTATTTTTCAACTACAGTTGATACACAATATGGTATTGGTCTCAGGTGTACAACATAGTGATTAGACATTATATAAGTTATGAAGTGATCACCCCGGTAAGTCTAGTACCCATCTGATACCATACACAGTCATTGCAGTATTACTGGCTATATTCCCTACACTGTATTTTACATCCCCATGACAGGATATGTTCATCTTTATACCTCTCGTGATGGTCAGCATCTGCTTGAGGTGGGGATCAGTTAGTTTAGAGTGAATGAAGAAATGAACTCATCAGAGTGTCTTCCGACTTCCTAAGGGACACCTTCCAAGCTCCTGTGCAAACAGGACTCTGCGTTATGACAGAGCACAATACTGTATCATTTTTGGTTAGACCAGTAACCTGCTAAATTGCAAAATGAACGCCAAGTGGCAGCTGAACATTTAGAAGTCCATGGCCCTAGCACCTGTGTGTCCTTTTCCCAGGCACTTGCCTTCCACTGTCCCACAGCAGTGGTTTACTTGGCTGGCACAAAGCTGTCTTTCCTGACCTGTATGGCTAATCACTTTCATGTGGCGTATATGTCATCTGACTCTCGGAAGTGGGCGGTCCCTATGTGGGCTGAGGCTTAGGGATAGCAGGTATTGACACCCATAGTTTGTGGTTGCCTAACTCATTGCACCAAATGCTCTGGGTCAGTTTCTGGAAACGTTTAAAGATCCTTCAGTGACAGTATGCCAATTAGTTCTCCTCTGTTTTACATGAGGAACGGTCTTCATCCATGTAGTCAGTACTTGTGGTCTGATTATCTCCTATGTGCCAGGCTCATTGTGTATTTTACCTATTTATTTTTTGAAATCTTTAATTGTGGTAAAAAATGTAAAACATAAAATTTATCGTCTTACCCATTTTTAAGTGTATGGTTCAGTACTATTACACATATTCACACTGTTGTGTAACTGGTTCCTAGAACTCTCTTTATCCTGCAGAACTGAAACTCTGTAACCATTAAACAATTCCCCATTTTCCCCTCCCCCAGCCCCTGGCACCCACCATTCTATGAATCTGACTACTCTAGCTACCTCATGTAACTGGAATCATACCGTATTTGCCCTTTTGTGACTGGCTTATGTCACTTAGCATAGCGTCCTCAGGTTCATCCATGTTGTGGCATGTGTCAGGATTTCCTTCATTTTTAAAGCTGAATGATATGCACTTTATTTTCTGTGGAGGAGCATTTTTTCCAGGTAGTCACACAAAACACATGTATAACAAAGAAGAAGGTTTGAATAGTTTGTAGTTGAGAAAATTGATGTACAGTAAGCTTATGTAAGGTTTTCAAGGTTGTACAATGTGGGGATGAATTACAGCCCAAGTTCACCAAGCAAAGCCCTATGATTCACTCTTCGATTAGACCTGCACGCAATGCTTGCTTTGTCTTGTGTTGCCATCCTTCTCACATTAGAGGTAGTAAGCCTTTTGCAGCTCTTTGCCATTTTAGTGGTTCCTCTTTTGTTAGGTGAGAATTAGAGGTGCCATCTAGAGTCAAAGAGATTAATAAAAGCAAGACTAACTAACTCTGAGGCGCATCGCCCTAGGGAGACGCGGCTATACCAGAAGTCACCAAGCCCCCTTCACTTTCTCATCATGAATTTACCTCATCGTTTCAGTGAGCCGGAGAACTCACAGTGTCATCATTGTTTCAGTCCAAATGACTGTTTCTTAGTAGTTATTATAAGTGGATTATTGTCAAGAGCTGAAGTGTATTATTTTGTATGGTTTTAACATATCTTACATCAGCGTAGAAAACACCTATAAAAAGGGCAATTTTACAATGTGGTGCATGGACTTGATCTCAGGCCTGTACCTATTGACAAATTTTAGAAAGTAATTGTACATTTTTTCTTAGTCGACACCAATACCTTATTTTAGACATCTGCCTCCTCTCCCTTCTGCAGTCAGTCAGAGGACCTTTATATGATCCTGGTTCAGGTGGCTTATTCTTGCTTCTTGTGCAAAATGGGAATGTGGCCACTCCCAGACCTGTGTATTACTTGGCACAGGTTTGAACAAGGAAGGTCTTCTCTGTTGCCATCTCTCATAAGGGAATTGTAGCCCTTGCTTTTCTCCTTTGTATCTTGCTGTCACTGCAGGTCCTTGGTGGTTCCCTCCTTATTGTTCTGCCACTTGGGGGATCTGCCACTCCAGCCATCAGCTGGGATGTTCTGGCTGCGAAATACACTCCCCACCTTCTGTATCGCAACTGTTAGTTAAACCCTTTAAAAACCGCCAGCTTCCTAATTATGAAATAGAAATACTTGAAGACACCCATTGACAGTAGAGTATGGAAATCAAGTTCTCAAGGCTATTTGTAGGGCTGTTAATAGAAAGATTATAAAAATAATGTCTTTAGTTTCCCAATTAAATGACAATGAACTTGAATAGCCATTTTCAAATAGGACCAGAGTTTGTAAACATTGAGTCCGAATGCATGCTTCACACTGCTAGAATCAGTACCTTAAATGAAGTTTAGAAATCATTTTTGTGACTTAATGGGTTCATGAGTCTTTCTGAAATGACTTGTGTATTCATAAGCTTTTCACCTCTAGAAGTGTCCTAATATTGCCTTAAAAAAAAATGCCTTGTTTCCAAATAGAATCTAGAGTTTCAAAATGAGAGGAAAGCCTTTCATCCCTGTGGTGACAGAGCACATTGCCTCCCTCTTGATCATTTCTAGGGTTGGTACTTATTTAGTCAGTGAGGAGATGTGCTACGAATCTTCCCAATGGGAAAAGACTAGCCAAGATGTACTCATTTGGTATAATGGATTCATAAGTTAAATATTCCATTATATGCTACCAATATATGTAAACCTCTTTTTGAGGATTTTTTTCTTCCTTTCTTCCTTTTTTCTTTTCCTTTCCCCCATCCCTCTCTCCTTTCCTCCCTTTCTCTCTTCCTCTCTTCCTTCCTTCTTTTGTAAAAAGAAATTGTCTCTTATTAGACGGTCTCTTATTAAAACAACAGGTATATTCTTGGTATTTGACATTGTTTGAAACATCTATTTCCCAAGGCTTAATTTTTATTAAAATTCTGGTTTTTAGCACCTGTTCACAATGAGTGTTTCTCCTACATGTCTCAATTTTCTAAGGGAAACTAATAAATATGACAATGTTGGAGCTCAGAACAGCTTGCTTGTGTCTAAGCCCTGTGCCCCTTTGAACTGCTGTCTGACGTGATGACCTGGGCCCTGGGCCAGTGAGCTGAGGTCATGTTCCTAGTCCTTTGCAAGAAATCACCCATGGCCA